GAACTCATCCAAAAATCTATAAATTTTCTTATGACTCTCACAAAACAAATGGAAGATTACCTCAAAAGAGTCTATGTATTCATAGATTGAAGGCTCACAAACATACACTTGAGGCTCATCAAGATGAGAAAGAGGGTTAGGATTTTCAAATTCAACTCTCTCTTCATCCTCAACTCCTTCACCATCACTCATATGCTAACCTATGGCATCCTCATACTCTCTTGGTTGCTTAAAATTATCATCACCCTCAACACACACATTGGACAGAGATTTTTCACGAACAAGCATTAAAGATGACAATTGGACTAAGCTCAATATGCCTAATTTGAGTTTCCAAAGTAGCATTAAGAGATTCAAAAGGTGTAAAAGATTGAGGCTCAACAAGAGAAAAAGAAGTACAACCAAGATTGGAAGAATCAACATTGAAATCATGAGCATATACGTTACATTGGGGAGTGGGGGCACAAGCAAACATATGAGATTTGTTATTAAGGGAATGGACTACGTCACAAGAAGACATGGCGAATAATGAAGAAAATTGAAACACACCATTAGCATCAACTTGAGCATGTACTTCATCATCATGAACAAAAGAGGAAATAGAATTGGAAGCATTTGTCCTAGGTTCAACTATGGGATCATGTGACACATCATGGGATATCATGCTAGCATTAAAAGAATTAACAAATTGCATATCAAAAATTGAAGCACAATTACCCCTATTATGGACTTCCCAAGCAAACCAAACATAAAAATGCCAAGCATCTTCGATAGAAAATGCTCTAAATCTACCACTATGCATTCCTTCAACTATATCCCTAGTTTGTTCATTCAAACCAAAATAACAAATATCACAAGCCTCCCAAAGACTACAACAATGATAGTTACACTAGTGGAAAAATACCTATCCGTAACGGGCAAAAAAGGCCTATCCGTAACGGGCAGTGGGCGTTACGTATGCCACCGTTACGGATAGCCAGTGTTATTTGTAAGGGGAAGTGTCCTTTACAAATAACAAGTTATTCCTTGCGGGCAGTTGAAATGCCCATTACAAATATCCCGTTATTCGTAACGGACTGTTCAACTGTCCATTACGAATAATGGGTTATTTGTAACGGGCATTTCAACTGTCCGTTACGAATAACGGGTTATTTGTAACGGGCATTTCAACTGCCCGTTATGAATAACTGGTTAATTGTAACGGGCATTTCAACTGCCCGTTACAAATAACTTGTTATTTGTAATGGACAATTTAACTGCCCGTTACGAATACCGTTTAGCCTCAATTAAAAAAACCCCAGCATAATTTACTGGGTTGTCGTCATTTTGTGCTTTATTATTCAATAAAAAAATTTATTTATTCCACAATTTTAATTAGTATAGTTGGCCACAAAGCTAATAAATGAAGAAACAACAATTTTTTTCCTTAGAACACTAGTAAAATATACTCCCTCCGCCCACGATTATCTGCACCAAATGTACTTTTTGCGGACTCCTAGACAAAACTTTTAGTGTAGTTTAATTAAGTTTGGGTGAATTTAATTAAATAGTAAAAAGAGGAAAATAGGAGAGATAAAGTGGTCCCATATGTTTAAGTGTGATGGGTTAAAGTGAGTAGGAAAGAGAAGAGAGAAAGTGGTCCCATATATTTAATTAAAAAAGAGGAAAACAAAGGTAAACAAAATTAAAACAAAAAAGTAAGGGTAAGATGGTCTTTTTACAATTTAAATTTTACTAAAAGAGGAAAGAAAAAAATTTGTTGCACATAATGGAGAGCACCCATTTATGACAAATGTTGCAGATAATTGTGGGCGGAGGGAGTATACATAATTGGTGCTGGACTAATAGAACACTAACAGCAGCAAATACAATTGAACAATAGAAAAAGAAAACAACATTCTTCTTCTGGACCAGCAACAGTACAAGAACTGGCAACACTGTTTGCCCTCACCTAACGCTCCTCCATCAACTCATACACCTCTTTAAAAGGAAGGCCTCAAGATTTGATGAAGCTGCTTCATATTTTAAGTATGCCAACTCATTAAGAAAAACAACAATCTCAACCCATGCTGACTCTAGAACAAGTAACAAGCATTGAGAAGCAAAGAATCACAGATAAACTCCTTAAACTACCAAGATAAGATTGAGTAATCAACCTAGAAGTGTCTATGTGCAATTTAACTAGTTGTCTTTTTTTTATTTCTTGTTTTCTTCTAGGATGGATTCGAGAAACTCAAGTATACCATTGTAAATCTTGCGTGTTAGAAGGAAAATGAACATCAACAACAAATTTAAAAAAAAAAAAAAGCAAAGATCTCATTGCATGAATATGAAATAAAATAAGCCGGGAAAGTCCAATAATGTACAACAATCTTGGTAATTTGTGTTCCAAAGTGGAATCAAACAAAGAATAAGACGAATGAGGTAATACCTGATTAATTTAAAGGTAACTTTATTTGTCTAAGAGGCAAAAAAAAAGAGAGAATTAACACATTGTTGAAAACCATAGTCATAACAAGCAACAAAAAAGATAACAGAAGAAGTAGTCAATGCGTCATGCAAGAGCAGTAAAAGGTACTATAACACTAACCACTTTTTATAACATCCCACTTACAATCTTTTATTCGCAAAACCAGATCTAGTAGATTAAGAAGGCAGCTACTCTGTAGGTTTTTAAGAATTTCAGAAAATTTTGGCATCATACTTTCTGCATTATGGACAGATAACAAGGTAAAAATTTACTTCACTACTTTAAAAAACTTTCATTCCACAATCACTGCAATAGAATCTAGTCATCTCATAAAGCATGATAAGGTGTCACCATATAGTAATCAAGACCAATTCTGAAGTATAAGCCTTTACGTAATTTAGCATCTCGGAACAGGATGGTGCCATACTTACAAACTATTCTAGTTAAGTTTGGCTTTAGAAATAAGAAAATGAGCAGAGAGTTGCAACTTCATAATCACGACATAAGACCGTTTAAAATACACATAATATAAACACCTATAAAGTTCTCTACAGTAAAATAAGTTTAAGAACATATTTCTTGACATCAAAAAGTACAATTTTTATGATAATTATTTGCCTCAACATGGAAAGAAATGATTCTCTAATTCGATTCCCAAAATCAAGTTCTTTGCCACATAAAAAATGCACTAGGAATACAATGAACATCTGCTTCACTAAAAAAAGGTCAACAATGTGTCTCCAATAACTCCAAAATATTGTAGACAATGAAACCGTGAAGAATGATTGATTTTCTATTGAGATAGAAAGATAGATAGTGTGCTCAGAAATCATATCTATTGGTGAAGATGTGGTTGGCCTAGTCGTGAGCTAAAAAACTCAGTTTGATCAAAATTCATCCAAAGCTCCACTTGAAATTAAATGAGTTCAGCTGAAAACAGCTAAGCTCTTCTAAAAAGGATCATGAGAAAAATCAAGCATAAGAATTAAAAAGAATATCTCACACAAAACCCAGCATAGAGTCCATAACCTCAAATCAATGATATGTGGTTCGTTGTCTTTGTGAATACAGAAGTTGCAAAGAATCCCCCGCCCTCCCCCAAAATAGCGTGCACATACACACTCTGTACCAATTCAACAAATCCAACACATTCAACGGCTTATTTTAGGGAGTGAGTGAGAGAAAGATATTTCATACAGTACCCAACCATGAGTTAGTGGCTTGATGTCTGATATCATAGCACTTTTAAATCCCGCTCGTTAGGTTGAAGATGATCTTTTATTTCCACCATCTAACAATTTCTGCAGAGTATCATCAACAAGAGAAAAAAGAAATGTTATTATTTTTTATTTTACCAAATAAATCATGTTCACCAAGAGAGTGAAGATATGTAAAAAGTACTAGCTGTTTGTGATATCAAGAATAACTGTTGAACATAGTCAAAATTACAAATTCTGTTGAGTTACCTTTCTAGTTGCCCAGAACTCATCCTCTGTCAAAATTTTACCAATTACCAACTGTTTATGAAGTTTCATAAGCTCACTGCAAAAAATAACTGATCGGGGTTGAAGTAGGTCGTTGGGACTACTAACCCTAACCAAATTAGAAATTTATAATACCTAAACTTACACTAAACTAGTTAGTGGCAAGTAAAGGGTCGAACCCAAAAGGACTAAGTGTATCAATTTGTGCTAACTAGACTAGTAGGAAAGCTTGTGAGATAAAGAGATGTTCAACTAAACACAACTAAGAACAAATAACTAAAACTAGGGAAAGTGAAATCCAATTACATCAATACATTCAATAACATCATACAATTAGATGAAAATGACCTTGATTAGGAATAATCAACACATTTAACTCACTCTCGCACATTTAAGCATGTTAATTATCCTACTAAACTATTCACTCTCGTGAAACTAGCCTAACAAAGGTATGGAAGAAATTATGGCTCTCAACCGACTCACTCTCGCACAATCGATTGAAAGCACAATTAAGAACATAGAATCAATTAGCTAGAAAGATTCTAATCCATAAAAGCATCATCCATACACAATAATCAAGAAATAATTACATACTAATCACAATCAATCATTCAATTTATTAACATAACCTTCATCCATTTCCCTAGAACAAAATCTTAGCTAACATAATGAAGAAAGACATGAAAAACAAGGTAAAATAAGAATAAAAACAAGATTAAACAAACAAACTAATTAATCTACTCAAATCAATAAACAAAAAGCAAATTCTAAGAATTAAGCAAGAAATAAAGATGAGAGAAAGTTAGAAAATGCTCATTGAATAGATGAGAAGAAGTTCCACAAAGTTGTTTCTTCAACCTCTCAAAAACTCCATGGAAATCCAAGCTTTATCTCTCTACACTACTCCTAACCCTAAGAGAGAGAAAATCAAGGCTAAACTAAAACTAAACTATCTAAATTAAAAATGTTGATTCAAGGTTTTTTTTTTTTTGAAAATAACCCCAAAGGGGGTATTTATATACAAGCTAAGAAAATAAAAGAAAAGAGAAATAAAAATAGAAAATAAAATAAAATAAACAAAAGAAAAAGGAAATAGAAATGAAATTAAAAGAAAAGAAAATAAAACCCCAAAAGCCCCCAAATCCCATCAGACCCACAATCTTCCTCCTATTCGATTTTTTTGGCTGCTTCAATCTTGGGATGTAATCCCCTGCTTCACGCCACACCAAACTCCATCATCAATCATCACGCAACCATCATCATCGTTCATCAGCATCATCGTCATCTAGCATCCAAAATCGTGGCCGTCCAATTCTCATTAAAAATCACGTGAAAAGCTCGTGATTGACCCACAATTGTGCGCCCGCACAGAAGACGCGCAAAGCTTCTGCCTCAAAAATGATTTTGGACTCCATTTTGTGCGCTTTCTGACAGGGCTGCGCGGCCGCAAAGGTCTGGGTAGCTTGGGGAATGCAATTGTTGCGGATTCGGGTTCGATTGATGCGGTTTTTCTGGTTAGGTGCTGCAATTGTTGCGGGTTGCTGCTGGTGTTGGGTGGTGTCGGTGTGATTGTGGTGGTGCGATGTGGATTAAGCAGCAGCGGTGATTGGAGAAGGTTAATTGGTGTGGGTTTTGGTGGTTTGCGTGAAGGCTGCAATGGTGGAGGTATGTGGTTGATGGTGTAGATAGATGGTGGTTTCGGTGGCTATTGGAGGTGGTGTGAGTTGGTGTTGGTGAGTTTGGGGGCTGCTAATTGCGGCTGTTGCGGTTTTGGTGGTGTGGTAGATGCGTGGGTTGATTGTGGCAGGTTATGATGGTGGTTCTGTTCGCTGCTGTTGCTGTATGGTGAAAGGGGCAGCAGTGGTGGAGCTAGTAGCAGGGGGATTGCGTTTGTTGTTGCAGTTGCTGTTGGCGTTGGGGTTGTTAAGGTGAGATGCGTGGCTGATGGAAGCAGGGGAGATGTGTGGTTTGAGCCTTGAGTGGTGTGTGTGTGGTGGAGGTTAAGAAAATGGGTGGTGATGGTTAAGGTGATAGCAAGAGGGCAGCAGTGGTGCTTGTGCATTGTGCCTCGAACCTTGGACCTCCGAACGCGAATATGACTTTGAAACCCGGAACACCTACAACCAAAAACACGAGGGTATTACCACTAAATAAAATAAATAAAAGATAAAATAAAATAAAATAAAAATAAAATAAGATAAATAAAATAAAATAAGATAAGACAAATAAAGTAAAATAAAAAGCTAAAACTAAATAAACACTAAAATAAAATGAAATAAAACAAACTAAAAACTAAAAGAAAATAAATAAAATGAGAGAAGCGGCACATTATTAACTAAAACTACAAAAATAAACTAAAAACTAATAAAAATGCAAAAATACTCAAAATAAAGGTAAAAGGCGAGAATAAGCGAATAATAGAAATAAAGGATAAATAGGGTTAAATTATTGGAAAATAAGCCGGAAAACGACTCAATAAACACCCTAAAAGTGACATAAAAGTCACTTATCAATAACCTGTATCCATATTCAACAAACATTGTGGGAACAAAACATAAGAAAATGAGGTTCTGCTGCTCTCGTCATGGTAATTTCCTGAACCAACGGGCCTTCATAGCTCTGATCAGTACAAATGGAAATCCTTCCACATTTAAACATTGTTGGTCAGGGTTACTTGTCTTCTTGCAAAAGTTTTATTCCTCGCTCCATTTCTTCTGAACTTAATTACGCAGGTCCTTCAGAATCATTTTTGGGAACATCTGGGTGATTCTCAAGGGCCTTGGCTGTTCACAAGGTGTCATGCTAAATATCATCAAGACCAAAAACATTAACCATACCCCTACATTTAAAAGAAAGGGATAGGAATTTCATGTCACAAAGTGAAAAATTACAAGCAACATCATTAATATTTAAGTCTTGGGAACTTGATTTCATTATAATGTTGCACTAGTAGATTATGCTCTAGTAAGTTCTGGCAGAAAAATAAACCCCACAATTATATAGACTTCAAATGGCTGTAATTGGTTGTAATTGTGGGGTTTAGTATGAGAATATTAGTATAGCTCAAATAGGGGGAAAAGACAACATAACCTAATTTTTCACTTGTGCTGCTTTGCAGATAGATATGTGCACACCAATTAGCGACTATTATCTAGATTCCAGATAATAACATAGAAGAAATTCATATATTTGAAAATACCGATCTTGCATCACATCTGATTTATAAGTTAGAAAGTCCCTCTTTGCAATGTTGCACCAATCATACATGACATAGTTGAATTCACAAAGCAATAACAAACCTAAGTGGTGCTTTAGACCAATTTTCAGCAAAATTCCTCAAAAGATAATGTCAGACACCGAAAAATATATACTCAATGTCAAAGTTCAGTTTTAACTTACTCACAAAATCCCGACACATATCGCTATCGCTGAAGTTCTCAAATTCAAATATATACCCTTCTGATCCTTCACCCTAGAAACAATGATAACAACATAATCAAATAAACAACTTCAGATACCAAGAGTAAATCAAACGATAAAGTTTCTGAGTTACATAGAACAACAGAGCCATTTTTATGCTGATAGAAAGAAGGCATGACTACTAGTTTATGTTAATTGTATTAGCTGATTATTAAGTAGTAATAACTGAATTTTCAAACTCAGATTAAGGAGGTATTAGCCGATATTAGTAGCGTTTCAATTATTAAATCACAAAATTTGCAGCTAAACCCTAATTCAATTGCTTAACAAAAATTAGCAATAATACCAAGAAACTAATGATATGAACAAGAATAAGCTTACAAAAGCACATGAAGATAACGTATAGAATATCTATTCGCAACAAACCACAACAACACGTCAATAATACCAAGATCTCTTCGCAACGAACCACAACAACACGTCAATAACCCCTTGGATCTATAAAACAAATCAAAACCCCTAATTTAACCATTTTTTCTCTAAGATTGATGGAGGAGAAGAGGACTGAGTTCAAAATGAGAGTGACGGGGAGGAGAGGAGAGGAGAGGAGAGATAGAGGGAGTGAATGACGTCTAATGGTGAAAGCCGTGAAACCCTAATAAAAAGCCTAATGGGCTCCTCTATAAGTTGGGCCAAGTTTGGGCATTTGTATCGGGCACATTACGCCTGTTACATGTAATATATTATTTGTAACGGGCAAAATAGTGTCCGTTACTATAGACACCTAAAAATGTCTCCCCAAAACTGTTTCGGGGTTTTCTGATGTCCTGTGGGAGAGTTACAATTCCGAGACTGGAACCGGACGTCTGTACCTGCAAAATAACGGAGACTCCTGAGAGCTCCGCCTCCAACGGTCAAGTTAGTACCTGATTAAGGAGTAATTAATACAGAAATTAAAGTAATGAGATCTCTCTAGGTGAGAGTGCTTAGGGTTGGTAATCTGCGTGGTTAGCGAGATTAGCCGGTTGTTAATAACTCTGTTCTTCTCTGCTTGATTTCTTGATTATCTGATTACTTGACTAATGAGGATTAATCGAGTATTTATAGCCTTGAGAAGCGTGCAACTCTCTAGGTTTAAGGTAAACCTAGGGCTGATCGGGCCTCTAGACTGAATTGGGCCTTGATGGCCGGTTTTCCCATTTGGCATGGGTGGACACGTGGCGTGTCTAAATTGGTCCGTAGAGGACGTATCTGTGATTGACACGTGGCAGGCTCCTGTTGGCCTTCGTGAAGGACACGTGGCGGAACCTGGTTGGTCCACTTGTCAAACGGTGATTGGTGGATAAAAATCCCCTAATCATTTGCCCCTCACAGGTGGCACGTGACTGGTCACGTGTCGCCTGTGACAGGTGTCGCACGGTGACAGGCGACGGCCTGCTACAGGTGTCACCTTTCAAACGGCCGAGAGATTTTCCCGCCCAAATTTTGAATTTGGAGGCGACCCTTCGCCTTCTCACTTTGCCTATAAAAGGAAGTGCTGACTTCAGTCATTTTCACATTTGAGAACTTTGCGAGAACATTCGGACCCCTGAACTTGCTCTGACATTTCGGACCTTTTCTGCCTACCGCCTGTTCTGACAAGCCGACTGACCCGAACTTCCAGGACTTCATCAACCGTCACTCGTTCAGGTAACTCAGTTCTCTAACTCTTAATTTTATTTTTATTTTTTGAAATGGCACCATGGAAGCACACGACACGACCTAAGTTAGTGATCAGCCGGTCACCGGGGACGGCTGAATCTAGGACTAGGAGTGCCGCCTGCCCTTTTCTGGACCCATCTTTGTCCTTTATACAAAGTCCGACTGTATCTGTGTCTATGCAGAACGTGATGGCCAGAACGAAAAAGACTGCTATGATATCAAACTCAGACGGCTCTTCCCAAAGGGTGCTCCTTAGTGAAACATCTGACCAGGCGCCAGATGTAGAACGAGGCGACTGTCAAGCCGACAGTTCTGAGAGAGGGGCCAAGGTGTTCCCTTCCCATCTTACTGTTGACATGTCTAATTTTCCTCCTGCTCCTTCTAAGGGAGAGGAGGCGGGCCCCTCTAGGAGAGGGGAGGAGTCGTCCTCCTCGGACTCGTCAGAGGACGAGTCTAAATCCAGCTCTTCTGGCCACAGTTCTCCAGGCTCAGAAGAGAAACATAGTCGTCTACAAGAGGCGAGACTTTCTCATGCAGTTGAGAAGGGGGACAATTGGGCGGAGCCATCCGCCTCTTACAGAGAGGAAAACGCCCCCTACTACTGCAGGGTACCCCGGGGCCGGATTGCAACCATGCAAGACAACGTGGCGAGCTTTATTGCTAACCACAAAATGGGCCCGGAATTTTTACTGTTCGTGCCGGATCCAGAAGACACTGTCGTCTGGCCGGCTGGTACCAGCTATGGTGACGGCTGCTTTGGCTGCTATGTGGCGGCCATCAAAGCTGGACTGCGCTTCCCATTACATCCGGCTGTTCAGCGGATTTTAGATGGGTATGATCTGGGGTTATGGCAGTTAGCCCCCAACTCTTGGGTAAACGTACTCGGCTATGTGGCCGGGTGCGAAATGTACGGGGTGGAGCCAAGCTTTGAGGCTTTCGCCCACATGAACTATCTCAGCCGGACCCCTAAGTCGAGAGGGACCGGCTGGTACCAATTAACGAGCCATAGGGGTTACCTCATGACGAGAGGTAAGGCGAACAAATGGAAGGATTGGCGGAACACCTTCCTTATCATTGAGAGTTCAGACACGGAACTGAACAAACGTTTTAACAAGTGGAATAGGGATCCGCCTCTCCTCGCAGGCGGCCGCAGCATGCCGCCTGTTCCCCCAAAGGCTAAAAAAGAGATCCTAGACAAAGGACTCTTCAAAGTAGAGACTAGGGTGAACTCTACTTCAGGGGTACGAGAGCAAGTACCCCTAAACTGCGTCCCGAGCTTCAAGTGGCTCTATGACGAGTACTTCTTGGCCGCCTGTGGCCTCGGCAGTCGGTGCTCTAGAGGTAGCCGGCCTGACAAATACTCTGTTTTTTCACGCCTTGTTTACTTGGGATTTTTACTAACTTTGTTGTTTATTTCTTGCAGCTGACGCCATGAGTAAAATATCAGCATCTAAGACTGCGGCGGCCATGCTGCGGGCCTCGCTCATGAAGCAGTCGTATGCCGACTCCCCCAACAAAGAGGCACCCTTGGTAAACTTCGAAAACTCTTCCTCTTTTAGTTGTCTTATGCATATACTAACTCTTTTTGTTTTCAGTCTGGCACTCCAAGGGCTTCCTCCTCGCAACAGCCGGACCCCAAGGCCCGGAGGACGACTGTTGCAAGCTCTCCTGGGTCTTCCAGGAAAACAGTGGCGGCTGAGAAGCAGCCGGCCACTTCTTCAAAAACCCAGGCGGGGCCGCCTAGATGTATGAATACACACTTGTAAAAAACTCACCCTTGCTTCCTCCTTGCCTAGGTCTAACTTGTTTTTTCCTTTCACTTAATGCAGCCGGCCCCCAAGGGCTTGACTTGGTTGAGGTAGCCAAGTCAATGGTTAAAGTAGTTCCTCCATCTGACAGGGAGGCGGTCAGGGGTGCCGGCACCCTTGACCTTGATGGGATTTCAGGGGTCCTTGCTGAGGTACACTTAGCATATTTTTGAGCTTTTGAGTTCCAGGACGCTTGTTAACTTTTCTGTTTGGAAACTGACGCCTGTTTTTCTTTGTACTTAGGCCCTGCTCCGAGTCAACAGCCTTCGCAAGCCGATTGATCGGAAAAAACAAAGAGGTAAAGGCCGCAAAGGCTATGGCCGCCTCCAGCTGTGATAAGGCAATGTTTCAAATTGCCCAAAATGAAGTACTGACCATTGATCTTCTTTATTATCAGGCGCAGGCTACCGCCGCTGTTCGGGCCCAGTTAGAGGCGGCCCAAAAGAAGGTTGACGAGCTGGAGGGGACCGTCACCAACCTTAAGGCCGAGCTGAAACCTCTTCGCCAAAAAATGCACTCTTACGAAGCCATGGAGAAATCTTTGGCCAACGTAAAAGAACGCCTGGTGAACCAAGAGAAGAGTCTTACCCAAGAGCTCTCGGATAAGGCCGAGCAAGAGAAACAAGAGCTCGTCCGGGAGATGGTGGAAGACTCCGCTCAAATCCAGCGCATGACCTGGGAACGACTGTTCCCCAGTGCCGACTTTGCCTCATGGGAAAGAACGTACCGCCAGTGTTCGGAAATATATAATCAACAGATCCTGGCGGCTGCTGAAGAAGAGGCGTTGGACGGTGCGTTGGAGGAGGAAGAGCCGGTCGTGGCGCTTGTGCCACTTGGGGGTAAGGCATCAAAAGAGGGTGCAGCTAAGGCCGAGTCCAGCAAGAAGAGTGCTGACCAGGCGGCAGCTGCTGATACTGAACTGCCCCCTTCTTAAGCTTTAAGTATTATTTCTTTTTTTTCACGGCCTGCGTGCCGTTTGCTTTGTAATTACCCGGCCAGGGGGCCGGGGTTTTGAATATTCTGCTGGTCTTTAATGGCCGGCTCATTTATCAAATTTTTGTTTTGGTTCAAATTTGTCTAAGTATTTTTAATTTGTTCACTAGACCGACTGTTGTGTATGGCCGAACGTTAAGACAGGTACAAATAGTAAGTATGCCGCTTATGCCCCTGGACGACTGGTTGTCTGTTTCCAGGTTAGATGATCAGTCGGCCATTTATTCAATCGGTATTCGAACTATTTATTCAATTTGTCTGACCAAGTAAATAGTATTTCCTAGTTGCCAAGGAATTAAGTAGGATAACAAGCGGCTGGTGCCGGTTGTTTCCCTTTATTGCCAATGTTGGCTTTTAACTCGTAATTTGTTAATCTAGCAAGAGTATTGGTTGAGAGCCCTTGTTTATAAAAAACAGGTGGACGACTCATACCTTTTAGGCTCCATACTAAGTTTGAGTGACTATTAAGTTAACATAGGAGTTACTTAGTCTTCGTCACAATAAAGATTGAGTAGTAGAGGTACCAGGCGGCGTAGGCCGGCTAGACCCCTTGATTCGCCAATGTTGGTTGGCTATTAACTCAATAGGTTACTTAGTAGGAATAGGGGTTCGAGTGCCCTTGTTTGTTTAAAACAGGCGGACGACTCAAACTTTTTAGATTCCATACGAAATTTGAAGGAGTGACTATGAGTTAACGTTGGAGTTACTCAGTCGCCGTCACTTTTGTTTGAGAAGTAGAGGTACCAGGCGGCGTAGGCCGGCTAGACCCCTTGATTCGCCAATGTTTGTTGGCTATCATCTCAATAGGTACCCCCTTCATCTATCCCAAGTAATACAGGCGGTCATCTGACTCAGATGTCAACTGCTACCACTGATTTGGTTAGTGATAGAGTTATCCTTGTCTCAAAAACGGCTACGTGGTTGCCCTTGGGGACAGTCGTATAGGTGCCGTGTAATTAGTTTATAGAACAATGTTCCACCCAAAAGGGAGCTGCTCTCTGCGACGAATTTCATCCGGAGGGATGCCGTCGGACGCCTGCTATGATGTTGGGACAGGTCGAATTAGTTTTGTAGATTTGATCAGTTGGCTTGGCGCCTGGTCTGATCATTCGGCCGGTGGCCTTTGTAAGTTCTTGGTGAACGTAAGTGCTAAGTGAGAGAAGGGTAGCCGC